GGGGGGGGGGGGGGTGAGAATTGGTGGTAATTACATTGTGTAATTATAAGGTTACTTTTTAATTTCCTTCCTTTCTATTTTTTATTTTAATTTATTTTCTTAATAACCTTTTATTTTCATTATTGTAATTTTTTATTTTAATTTTAATTTTTAATTTTTTTTAATTTTAAAATATTTTTTTGTACATTATTTATCTTTTATTTCTCTATATTTACTTATTGTGATTCCATGTAATTGCTCGTATATTTTATTCTTATTTGTTTTATTTTCTTCATTTAGCGTAACTGCGTTATTCTTTTTATTTTTAAAACTACACCTCCTAATATTGTGAGTCATTAACAAATTTGACATATAATGGGTGATGTCATTAAAGTAGAAAATTATTGTTGAATGAGATTATAAACTTATTATGTTTCCTAATCTTAAGTTATATTGGAATTTATTTTTATTATGTTGGGAATTTGACGTATGGTTAAGTTTTTTTTTTTTTTTTTGGATTTTGAAATTGTGTTATATTTATGGTTCCAATTTACGTTTCAGTAGTATTAGCTTGTTAATTCACATTGCATATGGTTCATTTTATTGTTAGAACTGATATAATAGTTTTGCCAAATATTTGCATAATGTTATGACATTATACTTATTAATATTAATTTATTTTATCAAACATACATTCCATGATATTCTTACAAAACGTATGGTTTTAGTTTTTATAATTAATTAAATTAAATATTATTATTAATTTTATATATATATATATATATATATATATATATATATATATATATATATGCATCTTAAATACCAAATCTAATATCNAATTATGTTTTAATATAAATTCTCTTTCAAATAGAAAGAATATTAAATAAAAGGAGTATTTTAAAAAAAATATCAAATTATAATATCGCTTTCAAGATCCATTACTCCTTAATTAAGAGATACATATAAAATTTAGCATCGAATACATTACTTTTGATGTTTGAGTTGTAACGACATTGCAGCTAATTTGCATAATGATATATGTCATACTTTACGTATTATTCATAGTTGAATTATAATTTATAAATATTATAAATAGATTATTTGTTATATTTTTGCGATTTTAATATAATTTTTATAATTATTTTTATTTTATACTATCTTAAAATTCTTGAAATTATTAAAATTTGAAGATTCGTGGGACTTACGCCCCATGTCTCAGGGCTTACACCTCGCCTCGTCAGAGGTAAAACGCCTCGCCTAACGCCCTGCCCTTTAAAACATTGATTATAATAATAAGATTTCACATCTTATATTTTTTAATTGTAATATTAGTTTACCATGATTAAGTTATAAGTTAAGCTGAGAATATATATTAATTAATTAATATAATTTGGCGATAAAAACGTATGTAAAGATATTAATTATACATTAATTTATTGATATAAATATCGGTTGAGAGTAATGCTTTGCCTACTTTGGAATGCCAAAGGACGGAGAAATTGAAAAATCTGACAATAATGTATTGTTTTACATAGGGATCATTACATGAATTCACCATTTACCTTTTTTAACCGAAATATATAAATTATATACTGATTAAATACGATTATATATATATATATATATATATATATATATATATATATATATGCATCTTAAATACCAAATCTAATATCATTTATACTTATAAAAAATTATTTATAGGCATATATATATTTATTATTTTTAACTTTTAAGTTTTGATAATTCATTTAAAATTTAATCTAACAGTATAATTACACTTGTGCAACCAAACTGTACGCTTGTAATTACACTGTAATTACATTGTGACAAATAAACAGGTCATCGTAATTATTAGACTGCGTAATTATTACCCTAATAATTACACCAATTTCAATTACTAGATGGCTTTCCAAACATACCCTTAATGTTTCACAGCTTTCTAACTCCAACCTCCATATCTTCAAAAACGTCAATTCAGTCCACCTACCACACAACTGCTCTACTACTAGTAGTTAAAGCACCTAAGCTCTCAACCAAAAGACATCAAACATATTGACATTCTCGTGATCACAATGGGCAGCTAAAACAAATTCACAGGATCGTCCTGCCTACTCGTCATCGCCACGGTCATCCCCTCATTTCTTTAACAAGAGAAACTGAAAACACAACATAAAAGACCCGTGATACTAACGGAAGAAAGGAACATCGAATGGAATTGGGGGTTGGGCGGGGGGGGGGGGGGGGGGGGGGTCTTACACCCCAGGAAGAATTCTACTGTCAACCCCAAACAAACAAGTTAAAAGCTTAAAAGAGAACGCGGCCACAGACATTTTGGTTACTTGAGCTTCTCTCCATTGGCTTTCCAGGGCTGTTAAGGAACCTGACGTGCATTTTATACTTGGGACCTGTTGGCTAAGCACCATGTTCCTCTGCCAGAACATAACTCGCAAGTGTAATTTTGTTTTCCTTATTTGGGGAAAAGGGAGACGAGAAAGAGAGAGCGCTAAGCAAGGTCCAATCTTATTATACATTCATAACATACAAAAACAAGAAACTATCCAGAATCACAAAGACTCGATGTCGGAATGTAGGGAAGTCTACAACCGAATTGATGACAAACCATATCCAAGAGTGCACATATCCCTAAATCACATCCAAGAGCCGCTCACTTGCAGTCCGAGTGAGTACTTTATTCTAAACTGCTTTATCTAGTAAAACGAAACAGACTCCTCACCAGCAGCACCACTACACTTGGCCACCAATGAGTAAACTGCCACTTTTACTGAACTGATGCCATGTGCTTAATCAAGTCCACCACTCGTGTGCTGCAATTCCATCAAGGATTACTATTAGCAGGGAGCTACAGATCACAAAACTCTTAACACAATGCAGTCACCCAGAGGATTACACTTAATTGGAGTGATGATGAATAAATATACACAAAAACTCTGATGTTTTTACCTGTAACCCCATTCGTTGTCATACCACGAAACGAGCTTGACAAAGTTCTTGCTCAAAGCAATTCCAGCCTTGGCATCAAATATGCTTGATCTGCATATTATTTCCATTCAAAAGAACAGATCAGTCTGATTAGAAGAGCAAGATCAATGTGGATCGGCACAGACAAGGTTCGTGCAAGAACTCTTGTGGAGCTCATGGAACATGAAATGGAGAAAAATTAATTCATAGAACACTTCAAAATCCCAAACTCACCTATTGTCTCCAACGAAGTCTGTGGATACCACATCATCTTCAGTGTAACCTAGAATTCCCTTCAATTTTCCTTCAGACTCCTCCCTTTAGAAGATATATACCAATGCCATAGTTAGCAACTCAATACAATCTAGCAGCTCCAAAAGAATAATTCTGGACTAACAGAGATGTCATTACAAACTAATATTGATGCGGTTACCGAATCCTTTAGGGGAAGGGGAAAATGACTTGCACATACTAGTGCCCTTGTGAAAACTATGTATAGACAACAAGCTTACTTAATGGCAGCCTTGATTTCGTCATAGGTAGCTTCTTTCTCCAGCCTCACTGTGAGGTCAACCACGGACACATCAACAGTTGGGACTCGGAAAGCCATTCCGGTTAACTTCCCATTCAGTGCTGGTAGAACTTTCCCGACAGCCTTGGCAGCTCCAGTACTGCTGGGAATAATATTGAATGATGCAGCTCTTCCACCCCTCCAGTCCTTGGCTGATGGCCCATCAACAGTTTTCTGGGTGGCTGAAATATTATATATTAGGTTGCAAAATTGAGTGAGCAAGCTACAAATGAAAAGTATATAAAAGTAAAAGCAAGAGTGACCCTTACCTGTGATTGAGTGCACTGTGGTCATGAGACCCTCAACAATTCCAAATCTGTCATTTATGACCTGCAGAGTGACGTGAGAAATTGTGATACGTTGTTTCATTCGCGCATCGATGTTATGCAATGACACAAAAAGCTAATTTGAAGAACTGGGTGGGTAGAACCTTTGCCAAGGGAGCAAGGCAATTTGTGGTACAGCTAGCATTTGAAACAATGTTGAGCTCAGGCTTGTATTCCTTCTCATTGACACCGACAACAAACATAGGAGCATCCTTGCTAGGGGCAGAAATGATGACTTTCTTGGCACCACCCTGATGATTCACAAAAGTAGAGCAGATATTAACTCCCTTGAATCACTGATAATCACTCAAACTAAGGTCTAAAGGAAAACTAATTAATTCATCCAACTAGCATACAGAAACCGAGGTGGGTAATAACCACTATACCAGGTAGATTCAGAGTCTAAATTTAAATTCTTTTGGTTGCACAAACAACAACAAAAAACCCAGTTTGATCCCATAAATTTCTTTAGTAGCACCAAGTCTTGCGATTAAAATGTTCTAGAAAAATTACTGTTCTTGCCAAGAGAATACTTAGAATATCATTTAAATATAGGTACTAGTGTGCTCACCCAAAATCAGGTATAGATCCTCCGATCATCAATAAAAGATACACACCAAGCATCAATTAACATCACTACTACCAATTTTGCAATGCTTTTTGAGTATTCACATAAAAGATGTACTCATCAAGCATCAATTAACATCACTAATACCAATTTCGTAATGCTTTTTCAGTATATCATTACATAAAAGACGTAAACACCAAGCATCAATTAACATCACTAAGACCATTTTTTCGCTATATCATCACAATAAAAGTAGTACTCATCAAGCATCAATTAACATCAGTAATACAGAGTGACTATGTTTAACTTGACAATCATACACACGCAATGCACATAATTGTGGAACTTTTTTCCTTATAATTTAAAACAAGGACGATTAGTTAGAACTTAGAACAGAGACCAATTTTTTTATGATCCCAAACCTTCAAGTGAGCAGCAGCCTTGTCCTTGTCAGTGAAGACACCAGTCGACTCCACTATGTAATCTGCTCCAGTCTCGCCCCATGGAATCTCCTCTGGGTTCCTTTACATATTCCAAGAAAGTTCAATCACGAAATATGCTCGACCCAAGAAAGTTTTAAAGCAATTTCTATGGTAAACAGACAAATATTAGTACCTAAAGCCAAAAACAGTAACAGCCTTCTCACCAAAGAGAAGGGTCTTGTCATCCTTAACCTTGAGCTCGTGGTGCTTCCACTGGCCGTGTACACTATCATACTTGAACATATATGTCTACAACACCAACATACATAACCCATCAACTAATTAAACTTTCACATGACTATTGATCAACTCATCGAAAATTGAAAATTGAAATTTTCGTTTCTGGTTTTTGGGGCAAGTACCATGTATTCAACTGAGATGAAGGGGTCGTTAACTGCGACAAGCTCAACATCATCTCTTTGGAGAGCAACCCGGGCCACCAATCGGCCAATTCTTCCAAATCCTAATTCATGCAAAACAATATCTCAAAACCGAAAAAAAAAAAAAAACATGGAAATTACCTAACAAAGCTAGGTTATAATTTTATTTAGATAAAATTCACTTGACGAGCACAAACTCTTACCGTTAATTCCAATCTTAACCTTGGCTGTGAGAGAAGAAACAAAGAAGAAAAGCAAACGGATTAATTAATCAGAGTCCAAAAATAGGAAAACAAAAAGGAAAAGCGAATCGAATTACCCATGATTTTTGAGGAATGAGAGGAGGAGCAAAGTCCGATCTGACTGAGTGATTGAAGGTTTTGTCGAACAGTGTAGTGGGGTGGAAGGGTTTAATATAACGGGGGAGAAGATTTATGAGAACATTCTAGTGGTATTGCATGTTATGTACTTATGGGTTTATGTCATTTAATTCATAAATAAATTTCCTGTAAGCAACTGGGTAATCGTTTAAGATAAAACTATATGAAGTTAAATTCTAAATAAATACTAGTAATAAATATTTAGAGAAAACGTGGTTTAGTACATATTCTATCTGAAACAGTGTAATTCAAATATTGTCTTAATTAATACTTTATATTTTATATTAAAGCTAATTATTATTTTACATAACAAATTAGACATTCTAATAATAATGTTTGTACGTATTATTTTAGAAATAAAGTACCCAAAATTAACAAAATTATAACAATTCTAATGAAATTCGAGATGATTGAAATAATTTCGAAAAGTTTAATTATGATTATATTTAATAGAGTTATCTAAAAATCAGTATGGTATAAAAGGGAAAGGTTGATTTGGAAGAGATTAAAGAACATGAGGCTGGATTACAAATATTTAAGCGTTGAGATTAAACATAACTATTAACTACTACATCCTACAAATTTGAAATTCACTTTCCATTCTTTAGGTGGCCACTCAACCAGTCAACCACTTTGAGTTGAAAGTTGAAACGGACGCTCTACCTCTTGATTTGCGTGACAAACCGACAACGGATTACTTGGCAAAACCGGAGCTCACAATCTTACGCTTGTCAGCTTTTTAAACACCTCTCTTTGTGACAATCGAGGTAGTGTTCCCCTTTCTAAACTTGTATATATAGTGTTGCTACCTTTTTTTTTCTAATTTTTTGTCGCGTCTTTCTTTTACACGTTTATTAATAAAATATTAAATAAGAAATTTTTTTAATTATTTTATCCTTATTTATATCTTAAGGTATACTTCCGTCTCATATTATTAGTTGTGGTATTAAAAATAGTTATCTCAAATTATTTGTCATTTTAAAAGTTCAAGACAAAATTAATTAATTTTTTTCTTTTTTACCCTTAGTAATAATTATCCTTGAAAACTACAAACACCTCATTATGGATAACTTTGTTGAAATACCAATGAAGAAAGATTAAATATTAAGATATGAATAATGGTGAAGTAGTCAAAATTTCATCCTAATTAATTTTTCTTAAATGGCGTGTACAAGAGAATCATGGCAGATAATTTGGGACGGAGGGAGTAATATCTTTTTATTTAATACTTACTCATAATTAAGGTATTTGTAGTCTTCGAGGACAGTTAATATTAAGAGTAGAATAGGAAAAAATAATTACTTTAGTTTTAAACTTCTAAAATCAAAAATAATTTGAGATAATTATTTTTAGGAATCACGACAGATAATTTGAGATAGAGGGAATAGTATAATGTATGTCCCATATTTTCTATTTTAGGAATAGGAATTAGGAATCATATATAAAAAAGAAGCAAGAAGCTTTTAGGTTGGATGCTCTTTTGTTATTAGGAGTATTGTTTTTCTTTTAGGTTGTTAAATGACTAATTCTTTTTGTCCAAATTCCAAATCATGAATTTGTGCTCGACCCAAACTATTCCTATGGTCCGAACTAGGATGTATGTTATCTCCAACTTCAATTTTAGCATTTAAATTATAACTTTATTTATTCATGTTATAAACAAATAGAAGAAAACAACCTAAAGTTATTTATAGCCTGTTTGGCCAAGCTTTTTTTTGGCCAAAAGTATATTTTTTTTTGTTGCCAAAAGCACTTTTGGCCAAAAATTGAGGTGTTTGGCCAAGCTTTTGGAAGGAAAAAGTGCTTTTGAGAAGAAGCAGAAGCAGTTTTGGAGAAGCAGAAAAAAGTAGCTTCTCTCCAAAAGTACTTTTTTGAGAAGCACTTTTGAGAAAAATACAGTTTTTTAAAGCTTGGCCAAACACTAATTGCTGCTCAGAAGTGCTTTTCAAACTAATTAGGCCAAACACAAACTGCTTCTCACCAAAAGTACTTTTGAGAAAATCACTTTTGAAAAAAAGCACTTCTCAAAATAAGCTGATTTTTGCAGCTTGGCCAAACGGGCTATAAGGCGGTGCTCCTAAAATCAACCGGCTTATCTGCATTTGCTAGCAGTCCAGTTTTTGAAGTAACAAAGATACCCGTAGAAATGACACCAGGTAACTACTCTAAACGGTTATTATTTAAAAATTAGCCAGTGTTCTGAATTTCAATTTTGGAATTATTCTAAATCTAAGATTTTTAATTCAAATTTCATGATAAAATAAATACTGAGTAATCTCTAAATAACATCCTAAGAATGACGGTTTGTGCACCTAACCCAAGATACTGTGTGAAAAAAGTGGAGATTGTAGTTTGAAAATGGGCTAGGATGTAAGAAAAATACTGGGTTCGTGTCAGATAGGTTACAAACTACTGGGCTTAAAGACTCATAATTTCGGTTGAATTCCGTCTAACAGGTCCAGATTCTCTCTGTACGGGGCCGAACGAGAATTTGCACAGACAACCTATTTGCGCAGCATCATTTGAGGCGCAGCCACCTTTTAAATTTTTTTGCATCTGTAGCCAGTTAATTGTCAGAATTAATATTATCAATGTTACAAGCTTGAAGAAGTGAGTCTTGAAATTCAAATATGAATAGTAAGTATAAATAGGTGTTGTCGAAAACGCTTATTTTCTAGTTTAAATCAAGTAGGTATTGTCGAAAATGCTTATTTTCTTCTTCCAACATCTCTTATATACAAGATTTCATGAAGTAAATTATAACGTCATCTAAAAATCATCCTTGATGCAAACTTAAAGAAGTTGGTCTTAGATTCCAAACTATGAAAAGTGAGTTCGTTGACAAATTAAGCTTGAAAATGTTGGAAGAGACGAAGAATTGCTATATAAACTACTCTTAATTTGATATATTATCAAATGTCTTTGATATTTCGTACTAGAGAAAGAAGGAAATCCGAGAGATATGAAATGTGTGAACTTCATATCAAAATGCATGAACTTTAGTTATCTATGCTTGAACTTTAGGCAAAAAATTTCGAAGTTTACTTGCTATTATCTGAAGTTAGGCTTTGGCAAGCCAAATTTCAGATACGTATGCCTGGATTTCAGATTAGCGCACCAAAAGTTAATTTAAACTTGTAAAAGTTAGAAACTTCGACTATGGCTTAAATGAGAGTCTTGAAATGGGCTATATGTGCACTTCGCCCTGGCCAAACTCAAGAAGCAACATTAGGACGTTTTTCTGCCAACGTTTTCAGCACTGAACAAAATAAGAATGTGCCTAAACATAAAAATCTTAATAATTTAAGTAGGACCTTTTCAAAAAAAAAAAAAAAATCTATGCAACTATTACTAGTTCAATTTTAGGAATACATTCAAAGCATGATAAAAATCGATAGCAGAAGTCGCATCAGAGTTGTAAGGGTGCAGAGACCAAAAAGAATAGTTGCTGTGAAAATAGGCAACAACCCATTTTCTTGAGCCATGGCCCCTTTATGTTAAGAATAATGGGCTCATGCAATTAAACCCCATTCCTTGTCCGTTTCATTGGCAACAAACATATGTTCTATCAATTTTGGTCCATTCATATGTTTCATGCATTGAATTAACGCCCGCCTAGCACCCAACTGCTTAAATTTAAAAGTCTGTAGATGTCTAATATATGTATATTCATATATAATTTATGTGTACCGGCTAGAAAAAGTAAATAGACAATTGCCGGCTATTTATGTAAAGATCCCTTTGTCTTTCCACTACTTATGAACCTAGTTTGTGTATGCCTATCTCTTCTCTATATTCCTTTTACTATAGTAAGTGTTTCAAATTTCTTGTGAGATCTAAGCTTAATGCTAGTTGATGTTTGAACCTATGACCTTAGAGTAAAATCAGACACATAACCAACGCGCCAAGAGATAATTTATGTCAAGTGGTGTTATTTTCCCCCCTAAATATCCGTTTCCTCACAGTATTAATACATATATTTAGTAATATTTTTCGACAAAGTGGTGCCGTGTGACACCGCTTCTTTAGACGTGCATCGCCCCTGCTCAGTGTACTTAAACATGTTGTAATAGTAACATAACTATTATAGGTTGGTAGTCTCATGTGTTATGGACAATTAGCCGCATGTATTAGAAGCGACCTGAGAGAACTCGCCACTAAAGTTTACGTTCTGTAGTGACAATTAGAGTCGCCACAAAAAGTCTAGATTTTGTTGCAATAAATGAGTCGCCACAAATTTGCCACAAGAAGTCTGATTTCTCCTCTAATTAGAGTATTTTTTTTTACATAACATGTGTATAGAAGTTTCTGTGTCATATGTAACTTCACTTAGTTATGTTCTATGCTAGTATCTTCTTGATCCGCAGCAGCATGAATTGAGAAACACGTTAATTGAAGTTCGTCCTCCGTACAACCTCTGATAATTTCTTATAATTAATTCTGCTATGGGAGATAAATATTTATCAAAAGATAGTACTGTACTTCGAATTGAGACATGATTTAGACAACGGCTATACTGTTATAAACAATGATGCTTCATAATATGGATGTTGAAATATGAGAGTGACAAAAAAGGGCAGTCCGATGCACTAAGCTCTCGCTATGCGCAGGGTCGGGGAAGGGCCAGACCACAAGGGTCTATTGTACGCCGCTACCTTGCATTTCTGCAAGAGGCTGTTTTCCCACTTGAACCCGTGACCTTCTGTTCATATAATAATTTTACCAATTACGCGAAGGCTCCCTTTACGAGGGTGACAATGCAAAAAAAAAAAAAGAAGCTAATTAAGCTAAGGAGAAGAGGAATTAATATATATTGGGACAAGGAAGATGGGTCAGTGGAACATGCTCACATGGCTTTGCACATGGGATTTCATGTCTTCAAACTTCAAGTACTTGTTGACCAAATATACAAATCCAGAAAAAATAACAAGTTATTTTCTTCAATTACTAGAGTTCAGTTAGAGTCCAAAAATAATGTACATTATTCACAGCTATTTGGGAATATGATGGTATAATAATGGCAGATCTAGCTGTGGTTTACTCATCTTTTGTTTTTCTGTATATGTTTTTCCATAAT